ACACTGCTAGTTATCACCAATTAACATCATAACTCCAAATGTTACCCGATTAGAACACACGGAAGTAATATTTTTTTTTCGATAAAGCTGGGACAAAGTAGGGGTGCAAAGAGTTTTAATTACTGCACAGAAATGAGGAATACAAATATTAAAGAACTTAATGGAACTCTTTACGATAACACTGATAATTTAATATGTGTTCATCTTCATTTTAAATATCCTAATAAAATATGATTCTTGAAGAACCTCATTTCTTACCTCTCGACTTGGCTCCACGCGTTCTTCAGTCTGAGTCCCTGCAGGTTGCGGCGCATTTTCAGTCTGTAGACCAGACAATCAATATATTCAAGTGGAGGGTGAGGATTTCGTGTATTGAACACCAACTTTCCTGCTTTAAATTTTAATTTGTTTGCCGAAGGACATGCTTTTAAATCTTCTGTGAACAAGTCACGAAAATTACAAGAATCGGCAACAGGCCACATATCAGGCCTACTCTTCAGCGCCGACATCACTATGTTATGTTATGCTATGTTATGTTATGTTATGTTATGTTATGTTATTTTATAATATGTTATGTTATGTTATGTTATGTTATGTGGCTGGCATAAACTTAGGTTTAATGTCTCGGCAACTGTGAAAAAATTCACTCTCCTTCCAGTCGGAATAAGCCATTGCACAAAAAAAATTTCTAGCAGTAGTACATGTATTACGTTCTGCATAAAATTAAATTACTAATAATTATATATAATGTTACTCTTTTCGGGTCGCAATATTGCTCGATCACGAAGTGTTTGAATATATCATTCTGCACCTTTAATCAATCATCTACTCATTTTTTTCCCCAATTCCCGATTTTAGGTCCAAGAAATATGTTTTTGTTCCTAAATTCGTACATCTTCCGTGTGTGCCTGTAAATTATGTCCTTTAAGATACGTTTCAGCTTACATTTGTAGCCTTGACTCTAGTCATGTTGACTATGCAGTCGGCACACGTGGTGTGTAGGCAACTCATCATCTTTGGGAGGTGGTTGTCGGTGTTGTAAGCCTCCATGCACACCGGACAGTCCAGCGAGCACTGAATCAGCATGAATTTCATTAACTTTTAATTATAAACATAATCTCACAGCATTGATATCTCTAAAAGTCGGTGTACTGACAAACTAGAAGGATTATAAATGGCGTTACAACATTACATGGATATGAAAGTCTTTGAGTCGTACCTAATAAAGTTGTCATCTATATATACGTACACGGATCGGCCAACACAATAGGTTGAATATTTATCTTACATCCGTACATCGGTTAATGTCAGGAGAGTACAGTCAACGCCTAAGCTTGTTTATTAAACTTTTTTCGGTTTAGTTGCACTTCAAGCAAATGGAGGTTGACCAAGCTCCGCCTGCCTTCGTTGCCCCTAAAAAATATAGACTGATCACATATCAACATTCATGAGCATTCATCTCACTTTCCCCCCTCTATGTACTCTATAAATGACACTCCACTCTCTGAAGCACCGGCTTAAGTTGACTTACTCCATGCTGGTCATCTCCACTCATTTTCAAATGGTTTTGATTTTTTATGGCTTGTTTGTCTCCAGTAGCCAGTGTCTTCCAGACTCGGCTTCTGTGGACTGTGGGTGCACGCCTTCAGTCTTCAATGCGCTGTCGTTGTGGGTGGATGTCACGGGTGACGTCCAGAACTCTGGAATGTATTCAAATCAGTAGAGAGATATTCGCTTTTGTAAAGAATTGTAAGTATAAGGCTCAATGATTCCATTGTCAAATAAAGATTGGATAATATTTTATTAAATTATTTGAACGAAATGTTTCAAATTTGGTGTTATGGTTCCAGGCAACTTTGATATGAATTATAAATCAAATTTATTTGTTTATTGTATACAATTGAGCGTCCTGAGGAATGCAATGCTTTTTTAAGATTAGCTGATTACTGAAACGTTATTAAAATTCAGAAATATTCAAATGACCTCTGTTAATTAAGTTTAGGTTAAGGAATCTTGTTCAACTTTTGTCAATCAAGAGATCAATATGTTTTGTTTATTTAAATCTTGACACGTTTGATGTAGGCAAATTAATTTTGATTTCCTAATAATTTTGAAGAGTCTGGTAGCATTGACACCAGCCATCTTGGATCGAAAGCAATGTAGAAACTTTTACTAAAATGCATAAAGTTTGCAGAAAATCTTTCGTTCGTTGGTGATTCATGGACGTCAGGAAACATAATCTCACGTTAAGCATAATATTCGTTACAGAAAGTGGACATATGATTATAAATAATTAGCAGAAAATTACACTCACTTCAACCTTCTCAAGACACCGTCAATGGTCGAGAACCATTTAACTAGCACTTAGTCCCCGTAAGGACTAGAACATTTGACCATACCTTAGTACATACTGGTGACTGGTGAGGAAGCACCGCCAGCCACCAGATACCTTGCTTCTTATCTTTTATCAGTAATAAAACATTATCTTAACTGATAGCAGCAATGTTATTCTTGACTAGGCTCTTCGTGGCTGATACGTAAACTGCTACTAATAAATTTGTGTAATTATGATGATTTAAAAAGGCGAAGCATTTCGTCATTGCGGTTATTGAAACTTCCAACAAATAATATCAATAATTTTATTGATATTATTTTAGTTACATTTTTTACTAACACCAGGTGAAATATAGTAATTTACTAACTATATTTTTTGCTAACAGCGGGTGAAACTAAGAGAAATGTGAAATATTTTGTCCAAATAGCGATGCACTTATTGCCCCCTGTGTGGGTCAACCTGACTCATTTTTGCTCAGAAAAAAGAGCTTATAAGTGCCACGTGCAGAAAAATTGTCACTAATGAGACAATATGAGCCATTGATTTTATGAGTGCGTGTCATCCTGACTCAGTTTCGCCTGGCAAAAGAGCGTATCAGTGCTACGGGCAAATAAGATGTCGATACTTGGTCAATGTGACACACTCATTTTTCTGAGTCGGCGAAGCTTCCTCGTCGCCGTATCACGTCTCAATTTGTGAACGAGTTTCATCCAGTATTGGATTAAAAAATTGTAGAACTAAAATAAAATAATACTTAATATAAATTAAGTTATAGAAATTTAAGAAATAAACATTCCTTCACTCAGAGAAATGTGTGAGGCTCCGTTTTGTTTACAATGATTAGGCTGTCTCCTGCCTCAGTATGGCACGGCAGAAGGGCGTATCACTGCTACGTCTGCTCTCTGCTTGAACTATGCCTGCGAAAGTGTGTAAATATTCGGACAATTAGTCCCATTCATTTGCCCTATTGTATTCATGTTGTGCAACCGCCGGCTCGGGTTCATACAAAAATGTATGAATAATTTACATTGAACTCGTAGTATTCATTTGTCTCAGGGAGGTTTCATGGTTGTCTAGTTGCACTCAATAAATTAAACGGAGCACAATATCAAATAATATACGTTTAAAAATTACTTTTTAAAGACAATACTTCCAAAGAATCCAGTATCTCCAATCTTNGACAAAGTCTCCGTGATTTCAGTGAGTGTTTTATTGGGATGACTCTGCAATAGCGTGGTGCCTGCTGATAGTACAGCTGATGTTACCTCATAGTCGCTGATAACTTCGAACTCCTTGCTTCACGTGAAAGCATTGACATATTAATGCCTTTTACATATAAAATATAAGTCAATTTAAAAATAAATATAAACTAAATACTGATGTCTCCTGATGTCTAAGAAATGATTGACTTGAGCTTTCCGTCGGAAACAGATTTTTGTATTATATTATCTATTTTATTTTTAATTTATTTTATAATCTAATCATTTTATGGTGAGCCTCATAAAGATTTCATGAGTCCAAGCGTGTCTAACGAGATTAATTAGGCGTTGAAATTTAAACTGTATAATAGCTATAGATAAAACAGTGGAGAGAAACGATGTTATCGCTCCTACGTTTTCAAAATTCCAGCTCAAAATCGAGATTTTCCTACTCAGATAAACATTATGAAAATATAGGTAGAGATATTCAGAGATACTTTAGGTGATTTATGTGGCTAGTTTACAGTGTTCCTTTTTGTTCTTAGCACTTTTTTTCTTTTTCTGATTAGAAGCTTTTACCACAGTCGTACAATGAAAGCTTTATTTCGTTACCTGGCCGGGAACAATAGCCCCAACAACAGTAAAATAGAACAGGCCTCAAGAACAATGAAAAAATTTAGTTTTCGTCCTGGGATGGGATCTCTAGTAATTAATTTTATCTCTAACATTACGTAAGCTTGTTCGAACACGACAGAATATTTATAGACCGCATGCGTTAATGGTGAAGCGTTTTCTCATTATAATAGGTACAAACACCGCAAATGTTACGATTGCATTTATGGTACTGTGTACGTGGAATACAGTTTAAGATCAAAAGCATTCATTGTTCAGAAAAAAAATTATTTGAGAACTTGTAACTCTACACATTGGTAAAATGCAAACTGATTATACACTTGAATATTGAACGGTTAAAGTCATGCAGTATACTCAACACGCGACGATCGAACATCGCTGGCACACTGCGGGGATGAATTTTTGGGACAAATTTTAATGACAGGTTAACTCTATCAAATAAAAACCAATTTAGACTAAATTAAAAGCGAAACTATTGATTCACAAAACCTTCCTGCGGCCGTCACGAGAATTTTTTCTCCGCTTCTATTTTAATTTCTCGCTCTAACAGCTAAGTTCTATGTAGCGAGGTATGTTCTATATACCTAAATTAGTTCTATGTATGTAGCGAGGTATGATATGCGTAATTTTAGTTTTATGTAGTGAGATCCGCTACAACGTTTTACATGCATAATTTTATCAAACCGAAACAGATCTTGACTGAATGACCAAGGAAGCTATTTATTGATATTACGCACGTGCGATGTTTTTCATATTTTCCGCTTCCATTTTAATTAGCCCGCTAAACACTAATTTTCAGCGCGTTTTTCCACGCATAAGTTTTTCAAATGAAAACCGATCTGTACCTAATAAACAACGAACCTATTTATTCACAATAAAGTCGTGCAAGCGTTGTCAGACAACCGGCTATGAAAATTCGCCACTTGAACTATATGCATTAATTTGTGTGATATTTTGAACATGGTTTGTTGTTTTAAAATATGATTGAAACCATAGAAATATCTGCAATCTAGGTTTGGTCAACGGCTGAAGAAAATGTTAGTCTGTGAATTTGTAAGCAATTATAGAATCTTATGTATAAGCGTCCTTCTAAGACAAGTAGCAAACACACGTGCTCCAATTGTCAATATATAGTGGATTCGGTAAATTAAATTTTTCATGTTTGGAAATTTTCGAATTTTATCACATACTTTAAAATCACTTTATGCAGCACAGTATAGATCATCGTTAGCTGTAATATGACTAGCAGGCAAACAAAAACCATTGTTTATCCAAATCAGCTGTGGTGCGAGTCATAAGTTTTAAAAAGCTGTAAAAAAAATTCGCTATCTATGAAAAATTCAAATTTCATCTTGTGTTGCGTGGTATGTTGAATTCGCCGTAAATTTGTCCGACACATGTGGAATTCGCTATAAAAATTGTTCCTCAAATTCGTACCCAAAAATCGTCTTTAATAGCGTCTGAGCTGTTTATTGGATAAAATTATTTATTGGATTAAATGCCCCATACTTATTTTCTTTTACGTAGACAGTGAATGGCGTACCAATCTCATAACGACGCAATTATTTCATGGATAACGTTGTGTATTCATATTTTCAAATTCAATATAGATAAAACATTTCTTTAAATATTGTAAAATCAATAACTATGCATGTTTTCGAAATATATTGATTTAAATTATCTCCATATACAACAGGTGTATGTTGGTATTCGTGGTAAACAGAAGTTTCACAAAATCGTAGTCCAGTTGATATAGACGATAGGTAGGTTAGACTCAGTGCCTCTGGTGTATTCAGGTGTGAGGGCTTGTTTCTTTAACTGAAAAGGATTTATTATCAAAATGATGGTAAATAAGTTTCGAGATGCATTTAGTTTGCTAAGATATAATTTCATTGATCAAGTAATCAGGATTCGTAGCACTTGTGACTGTGAGTTGTGACTTGATAGGCTAGCTACTCGTCATAACGATCATAACCAAAATCGTCAAAAACAACTTGAACAAGCGAGCACTGGAATAAATTCAGGACGGAATTCTAATATTGACGGTTCATATATTATTCCCGATACACCTACACCAGTTTTTCGATACAACATTATTCGAGGCAAAAAAATGAACTTCTTATAGGCTTAAAACACGTATGGGTATGCTAATTTTCTATAAGGTACGGTACACTTGGAAATGCTGCGTGCCAGCAAGGCTGCAGGCGCAGCTTTCACTCAACAATTAAAATTATACAAAGTATTAGTTCGTTAAAGATTTGTCTCTTAATATGACTGGAAAGAAGTAAACTTGAAAAATAATTACAGCTAGTGTGACTACGCTGTCAAGCAGACTTTTCCGCGCCACTGTGCAGCCATGGTCAGGAAGATGTGCCAGGTGCGCGGGAATTTATATTGCCATTTTAACGACCTGCGCGGTGCGCCGTACTATGCCGGTAAAAAAAATGCGCCGTGCGCCGACAGCGCCGTACTTTTAGAAAGCTAAAATAGTTTAAATATGGACGCG